CCTGCTGCAGAACCTCCTGCCTGCTGCAGAACCTCCACCCTGCTACAGAACCTCCACCCTGCAGGGTTACTTCCACCCTGTACCTCTGAGCTGGGAGGAGAAGGGTCCGGGTCCGGTCCAGTCAAAGTCGAACATCCTCCTGCTGCTGAACATGTAGTCTGAGGTGGAGTCCGGGTCTCCCGGTACAGACCGGGGAGCCTCCGTCCGGCTGTCGGACCACAGCTTCGGGGAGTGGATGTCCTGCTCCTGGCCCAGCAGCTCCGGGTCCATGTCCCCTCCAGCCCTGGAGTTCTTGTCCTTCATCAGGTAGCCGCAGATGGCATCGATGTTCTCCCTCTTCACCTCCGGGAGGAGCGGCTTGGACCTCCGGGGATCCAGGCTGCTCTGCTTGGATCCAGGACTGAAGGGGAATTTGATGGGTCCGGGTTCTGAGGAGGGCTCCGGGTCTCTCCCATCCGCCTGGGCCGCCTCCAGCTCGGCCTTCAGCTTCTCTATTTCCCTGTTTTTATCGCGCAGCTCCATTTTCAGGACCTGAATCCGGACAGCGACCACCCTCCGGATCTCCACCTGGGCGGCCTCCAGAACCACCGCCATGTTCCTCTTCAGGTGCTCCGTGATGTCGCTGACCGAGCACAGGAGCTCCTCCTCGGGCTCCAGCTCCAGCGCCTCCCCGTCAGCTCTGCTGCTTGTCCCGGTCAGGTCCATGATGGCGACGCGGGGCTCAGCGGGGCTCTTTGTCTCTACAGACCCGGGCTGCCTTCCGCTGCTCGGGGATGACAGACACCGCAGCGCTTAGCTGGAAGCTAGTCCCTGAGCTAACTGGGGATGCTTGGTGGCGGAAGTGACGTCACTCGATCCTCAAAACAACCGTATGTCCGCTGATCATGGGTCATGTTGATTGGCTGCTGTTAGTTGGAACGTTGCGTCAGCTCAGCAGCCATCTTGGTCAGGGAAATTTCCTCCTGAATGCAATCTATCTAAACATAGAATGTTATTCTTAGCAAACGGAAGCAACTATTGTAGATTTTACCCTGAATTATTTCCTCACTGCACTTCAACATTTAAGTAGATTTTTATCAATATAATCAGCATGTTGTTTAAAATTAGAGTCTGATCCTAAACCTCCAGTCTGGTTTAGTTGATCCCAATAGAAAGATTTAATGATTAGCTTTCTGCCTCATAATCCAGATTTATCCATCATCCATC